GGTGCTCTGCAGTAACAGACTGAGAATTTGTTTGAATACACCAAAAAACTGACTAGCATGCATCCATCTGTATGTCTGAAGCGCAATAATCTCAGTACTCAGTTATTAGGCTAGGCCTAACATACAGGGGACTCTTCTGAACCCCTCTGGCCAGCCATCCCCCCTGGAGTTGGTCCAGCTCCCCCCAACCCAGGCTGATGAAGTCTCAAGTCTGGGAGGAGAGAGAAATCCTTTTCCTGTTGGGCTCCAGTCAAGTCCTTTCAGATAAATGCCTTCTCTCCACAGGCTTTTGGACCCACAGCCATCTAGTCACTCAGTCTCCTCCTTCTAGAATCTTCCCCTTGCCCGGGTGTATTCTTGGCCTCGAAATCCTGTTCTCAATATGGATTCTCACTTCTTGCTGAAAACTCCGTTTTTTTCTGCCTAGAATCACCCACTCACCTGACTCAGAGAGACATACAAGTTGCATACTATAAAAATATCCTTTGCCATGGCATGTGCATCCTTCATTCCTTTACATTTGGATAAAACAGCAGCACTTGACCATGTGACTAAAGTTTCTATGCCTTGGCTTTGGTCAAATGCCCTTCTTTGTCTATGACTTTCAAGATGAAAAGATTTTCACCAGAGACTTGAACATAACTAGCTGCTGTTACAGCCTTTACCAGAGGTAGTAACTAGCCGTTTTAAAAGCTATTCAGTCTCAACAAGACAGCCACCTTAAATCAGAGTCTGTATCTGCTAGTCACTTAGAAACTGAACTGTATGAACCACTGACGGATTAGAGATTTTACAGCCTCCATCTTAGAGAACAGGGAGTGGAGAGAGAACCCTCATCTCTTCTCCATGACTGCTTGGAGGGAGACCTGAGGACATCGTACATCCTTTTCATAGACTGTTAGCTGTTTTCACCTTTACAGTAGGCTGTAATCTGATTCCCTTGGATGGTCCCACAGAACCACTTATCATTTTCCAAAGCATCCACATCAAGACTGAACCTGGCTGCTGGTACTCCTCCTGCCTTTGATCCCCTTCCAAAAAGGGCTCCCGAGAATAACTCTCTAAAACCAACATGAGCTTCAGACCTCGGTTCTGACAACTGGTCACGTGATGACGATAAAACTCTCAACCAGCAGGCTTCACGGGTTCCAAAGCAACTCGCTGAACGGAGACAGGCAGACAAAGCCAGCTGCAAAAGATACCAAAGGCCTGGCTTCCTCCCAGAGGCCCTGGGTAGAGCAACCACAGCTCAGTGAAGGCTCTGGGTACTCTCTCTGGATTGCCCACTCCAACAGCCTTGGATTTCATGCTCATCACTCTTACATCTTCAAAGAGAAACGGCTTTCACTGGCACAATATGTAGGGACCCAGAGAGAGATTTAAAAAAAAAAAAAGCAACAAGCAACCTTTCAATATAGCAATTCTCAGATTATAGCTTTTGGCTTCAAATGGAGATTACTTGAATAGTATTTTGTCTGTGGAGAGCCTTAAAATGAGTGTTTTTTTGAGGGGGGGTGTCTCTTTTCTATCTGTGACTAATAGAATCTCTTAGATTTCTTTTTTTTTTTTAAAGGCAGTTTCCTTCTTAAATCTATCCTACAAATCTATCAACTTTGCTCTGACAGTTAAATCAGAACTAAATTGGACAAAAATATCACACAACAGACCAAAGTCTGTGAGTTGAATTAGTTATATACAACCAATTCTCCATCTGGAGCAAATGTCTGATACTGTTTTGATTTTTATTTTTTTAATGACTCATCTGTTTTATATGTGTATAAGTATCTTGCCTGCATTTATGTATGTACTCCACATGTGTGCTTGATGCCTATAGTGAGCACAGCTGGTACTGGGTACTCTGGAATTGGTTGTGAGCCACTATAGGGGTGCTGGGAATCAAACCTGGGTTCTATGCAAGAGCAGCAAGTGCTCCCAACTGCTGAGCCACTGCTCCAGCCCCTGATTATGTTCTTAAAGGCTTAAGTACTAAGTAAGAACTGTTTAATGTCATGAGGAGCTGGATACATTTGCTGGACAACAGGGCAACCTTCCAAAACACACCTGTGACTCCAGCAGGTTGCAGGACTGAGGCAGGAGGATGGTGAGTTCTGGGCCAGTGTAGACCACATAATGAGAATCTGTCTCAAAAAAATACTGAGGTGAACTCTGATACATGCTAAGACACATATGAACTTTGAAGACACTAAGCAAAGTGTAGGACCATCACAAAAGGGCTGACTCATCTTAAGGGAGAGCTATTTAATGTGCATAATGTCCTAGCTGCAGGAGACGTGTGGCACGTGACGCCACCTGTGCATGTAAAGAGAGGAAAACATTGTATTTTAACACAAAATGATTAATTTTAAAAAGTCAGGTATTTAAAAGAATCTTAAATTGTCTTGAAAAACAACAATGGTTTAAGAAAACGATCATGATGTAGTTCTAGCTTCCAGATAATAGGCCATTCTTTCAGAGAAAGTTCAGACTCTTCGACTCCTTCAATTCCCTGTCCTCAACCTATACCATGGCCTGGTTACTGGGAAACAACCCATTTTCTCTCCTATCCTTCCTTCCTCTTTCTAAATCCCCACAAGGAGTCACTATCTTTTCAAGTTTTCTAGCCAACCTGTACCAGTCCTTCGAATTTAAAACTTCCCACAATTCCCCACAGCCATCAGCGTTCTATGCAGGCCCTCTCCAACCTCATTCCTCACGACTTTGCTTGCTGCCACGAGCTCCAAGCTCTGTGAGTCCCCACCTCTACAGTTTGTCACATGGTGCCTTGGAAACGCTTCCCTGTTTCTCCCCCATGTGATGAGCAGTGATTTTTCTAGAAGACTCTAGACAAACCTCAGACTGTCTAGACTACCCCAAAAAGTTAACTGCAAACTGCCTGACCAGGATGGACATGAGGATGCAGTGTACACCTGACCAGGATGGACATGAGGATGCAGTGTACACCTGACCAGGCTGGGCATGAGATGCAGTGTACACCTGACCAGGATGGACATGAGGATGCAGTGTACACCTGACCAGGCTGGGCATGAGGATGCAGTGTACACCTGAGCAGGCTGGGCATGAGGGCACTAGTGTTCACTACACAGCACTGCATCTAGCTTCTGGTTCCCAAACCATCCCTGACACATCTGCCTCAGAACACTTGAGATTAGCAAGTCTGTGCCACTCAACTTCAGTCAAGCCCAGACACTTTACATCACGTGCACGCTAGCTCTCCAGTCACACATCTCCAGCCCTCAGTGCCACTGCTATTCTGGTGGTGTGCACAGGGAGGGAAAAACACGCATGCTCTTGTCCACTAACATATGAAATGTAAGGCTGCTCAAATAAGTGACGTCTTAACCCTTTCTTCCAAGGAGCTACCAGTTTGGATATCAAATTTGCAAATGAATATTAATATCAGACGTCCTAGAAGCCCAGTGCTAAGAGTAGTTTCCAGAAGATTCTGGAATCAGAGGGGCTTGGAGGGTGACAATATTTCCTGAGAGTGTAGGTGTAGAGTGTAGGTACTGGGAATGGAATAAATGATCTAAGAAGTTTCTACATCTGCTGAAATCCAAAGAGAAAATGTATAGAAAATGAAGCGAGGACAAGAAAAAAGAAAAGTAACAGGAAAAGGGAGAAAAAAAGTCACCTAACTAGACTTTTTGTCAACTGCGGATGAGGTGTTTATAAATCTACTTAGATCTCCTGAGAGGAACACTCCCATTCCTCCTTTTCTCTTTGCCTTTCTCTCTCTTACACCATGAACACAGGGAAGAAGCTTGGTGTCTATTTAAGGAAAACTAAGAACTACCTGCAGTTTGCAGCCTTTCCATGCCCCCTCTGTCGCTTCTCACCTGGGCTACGCAGAGGAGGGTCTCTCGGTCCTCCATTTCTGCGGTTTCTTCTCACACTCCTGGCCCTTTCTATCTCTTCCCATGCTTACCCCCCACGTATGCTGCCATTACAGACTCCATTCCTGTAAGGCTGCCCTACTGATGTAAAGATGATACTGGCCACAATCCGACAATCAGATAGTTTTGTGTTACAAGGAACTTATCCACCGGAGTTCCTTCATCCCAGGGTATACAGACTGCTCTTTAGGAATGATGGTGTACACCTGTAAAGCCAGCACCAGGGAAAGAGGAAACAGGAGGATGAGGTTCAACAAGGCCAACCTCAGCTACAGTGAGTTCATGCCAACCTGGGCTACGTAAGATTCTAACTCAAAACAACAGCGACGACATCATCATCAAACAAAACAAAACTCTTTCATTTGGAACCACGGTAATTATTGCCATTTTGGTTTAGTGTCTCTTACGTATTTAGTAGACCTAAAATCTTGTTCTTGTAAGAAAAACAACAGAAAAATAACCATTACACCACACAGTAGAGGAAATGCAGACACAATTTAGGGGGATCTTGGTGTTTAATCTGTAAATGTCCTTGTTTCTTTCATTTACCCTCAAATCTTTATTGAAACCTGAGAATATACTACGTTCCATACGAAGACCTACAAACTCTTTTCCTAATGTGAAAACTGATTATGCATTATATAGATGTACAGGCATAGGAGAGTATTAAGTATGATCTCAATTTACCATTTACATGACAGTCATTTTAATCCTGTTTGTTATGTATAAATTCCAAGTTTAGTTAGCAGAAACTTAAGAGAATCATGCTTAACGTGGGAGGTAAGAAAGAAACGACAGTCTCACATACAGGCATTAAAACAGCAGTCACCAGGTGGGAGGGGAAAGGCAGAGCAGGGCTGGTGAGATGGCTCGGAGGGTGAAGCCTGAGCATGATCCGACTCACTCAGGAGGAAGAGAGAACCAATGGCCACAAGCAGTTCTCTGACCTCCACATGTGCTGTGGTGCACGTACTTGAGCACGCAGACAGACATGTAAAAACACATGTCCAGAAGAGTAGAGAACAGCCAGAAGCAGGATGTGGAAGGAAGAAAAAAAAAGTAAGAAGGTAAACAGATTTCACTTACAGTTAAAAGGGTCCTGAAAGTTAAGCGAGGCAGAAACCCTCCAGTAGAGGACACCATCCCTGGGATGCACGGAGGTTCTAAAAGGAATCAGGGAGACAGAAGATGTCAAGGTCAAAGAAAGGAACTTCCGGAATGCCAGCCACTTGTCCTCCCAATCTCGAGCAATCTAAAAAATCGAGCATCTGTGCAGATGTGATAATCCAATTTCCAAAGTTGTTCTACTCCACTTAAAAATGCTGTCTCCTTCACAACCCTGCAGGCAAGATGCTTCCGTTCTGAACACCGCTCTCTCTCTTCAAACCCCAGCACCTGAGGGCTCTGGATGGCTCCAGATTCTCTCCTTCCGCCAGGAAGCAGCTCCTTCTTCCTTCCCCCTCTTGCTGCGGGTCTGCCTGCCTCACTTCTCCAAACTACAGCCCCGCACTCCCCCGCCCCCAGCCTGGCCCTCAAGGTGGGGCCTCTTTGGTGAGAGGTTTCAATCTGGGTCTTGGCTGTGCATTTTCGACTCCTTAGGAATCTCCCCTTGAATTCTCAGAACCAAATCAGCTCCTTTCCCGCCCCCGTCCTGTGCCCATTCTGACATGCTTGGTCTCCTCATGTGCTCATCATCCTGGGGCCTCTGTCCTTCCACCTGCCCCGACTCTCCCCCACCCTCACGGCCCTCCACTGAATCTATCGTCATCAGTGGCTTGATCACCACAATGGGTAGATCTCACTTCAATTTGTCTTCAGCACTACGACCAGCTTGATCTGCCTTAGATACCATGGGGATGGGGATGGGGGTGGGAGAGGAGTGTGTTTTTCCCTTTTCAAATGTTAGCCTCACTCCTCCTTTTTAGAACAGACAGGACAGTGTGTAGGTTTCACAATCTGTTCCCAGATCCTTCGACATTCCCCTCTTGAAAATGTGAAACTTAGTTCCCCTGCTCTCGAATGTGGGTTGAACTTACAGCTCGTTTCTAAGGAATAGAGTGTGGCGAGACTGACAGTGGATGGCTTCCAAAAGGAAGGTCCGAAGGCACCGCAGTACCTGCCTTGTTCCACTGGATCACTCGATCTGGGGGAGAAGCTGCCAGGTCTACAGACACTCTTCTCCGTGGAGAGACTCGGGGAGAAACTGAGGTCGCCACAAGCCACCAGCACCAGAGAGTGCACCACTCTGGAAGAGGACCCTCCAGCCCAACCCAGCATGATGACTGGAACCTAACATTTTGACTTAGCATCAGAAGAGACCCCAGTCCCGAACCCCACCCCGCAGCACACTGCTAGAGAAAATCAGTGCTGACTGTTAACTCCAATCTCTGAATTTGAGGGCGATTTGTTACCTTGCCAGAAGACTGATGCCAAGGAAATCAAGCCTCAAGTGTTTCAAAGCCATCTGTCCACCGCTGCCCTGTCCTTATCGCCGCATACAGACACCATTTTAGTCTAGGACGTCACTGTCACTGCCAAGGTGAGGTAAATTTAACCTATGCCACTAGCCCACCAAACAAACTTCAGCATGTTCTTGGGAGGGGGACGATATTAAAACAAGGTCTCATTATGTAGCCCCTGGCGGACCTGGAACTTGCTGTGCAGTCCAAGTTGGCTTTGATTTCAGACACCCACCTGCTCCTGCCCCTTGAGTGCTGGGAGTGAAGGTGTGTCACTGGACCCAGCGATACTGTCTCTTGGGCTCAACTCAAGGTCTCCTTACAGGAGACCTCTCCATACTTTCACATGTCTGTACATGTCACTTCTAGGACTATGGTCCAGTCAGTTAAGGTAGAAGCTGTGGCTTCTGTTACTTCATCATTTGTAGTGCTCTGGCGACTGAACCCCTGCAGGGTCCCACACACTGGGTCACTAAACTGCACCCCCAGCCCCTGCTACCGTATATTACCCATGTTAATGAATACATTCAACTTTTATGAGTCATTTTTACGGTGTTTTTCTTTAAAAGAGAAGTCTGAAGATCTGGTAGCAATGTACATATGCACTAAAGTTTGCATGACTTCATCGAATGGTTTGAGAGGATAACTTGGCAGCACTTATTACCCCCCAAATCCAGATGGTTTATGAATAAGCAATTCCAATTATAACTGCTTGGAAGAGGGGAAAATTAAAAGTAACATGCATACATCAACAGAGGCAAAGTTAAATTAAAATCAGGGCACAGCAGACTACCCTGGATCCATTTTCCAAAATAAAATAGGTCAACATGTACTGACCTGCTCGACAGAATATTAAGTGGAAAAAGTGCAAGTTTCATAATAAGAAATGTGTAAAATCCATGAGAGGAAAACTTTAAAACATTCCAGAAAAGGCACAAATGAAGACTTAACCAAATAAGAGATCTTACTTCCCGACAGAACAAGCTAACATAAAAACGTCAGGTCACTGTAAGTGAATTTATAAAATAAAAGTAATTTCCACAAATATACCAAGTTTCTAAGTGGATGACTGAGAGAGAATTTCATGTTGAAAAACAAATAAACAAGACACCCAAGCACTAGAGGGAGGATGGTATATTCTTTCAGGTGGTATAGACTATCATAAAACCCCATCACGGAAAGTGTGATGCAGACAGACAGACGGACAGACCAAGGACTTCACACACCCAAGTCAAAAACAGGCTCAGGGAGACATACAGCTTTGTGCAAATTAAAGGAGACATGAAAATTACTTGATGAAAACTGACTTTTTTTTTTGGTTTTTTGAGACAGGGTTTCTCTGTGTAGTTTTGGAGCCTGTCCTGGAACTCACTCTGTAGACCAGGCTGGCCTCGAACTCAGAGATCCGCCTGGCTCTGCCTCCCGAGTGCTGGGATTAAAGGCATGCGCCACCACTGCCGGCGAAAACTGACTTTTTAAGTAGTAGTGTTAGAAGACTGGATAGCCATTTGGAGCTAAATAAAATCAGATCCCTATCTCGTACCACACAAAAGAATAAGCTCCAAATGAATAAGGATCTACATGTGCAACAAGGAAGCTGTGCAAGTACTAAGGAGAGAACTGGCACGTTCTTAACCCTGACGGGAGCAGGCTGCTTCACTAGGACACAGAGGCAGTAAGTACTAAGACTCATCGGTCTGACTACAGATATATAGTCTTCCAATTTGAGAAGGCAGTATTGTGACTCACACCTGTAATCCCGGTACTCAGAAGACTGAGGCAGGAGGACTGTCAGAAGTTGAGAACAATCTAGGAGTTCCAGGCCAGCCAGGGCTAGACTGAGACCCTGTCTCAAAAGCAAACAAACAAACAAAAAAAAAATGATTCATCAATCAAACGAAGAGAAAATTTAGTATGGCCAAAATAAAAAACACTGTAAACAAGCACAACAATAATAGTTATTACTATTATTGTTTAGCACATCTAGGAAGACCTCCCTTCCCCTAAAGAGCAATTCTAAAACAGATTAGAAACACTTAAAAAGAATGTGAACACACATACACATACTGAAACAGAAGAGCACACTCTCAACTTCATACTTTGTAAGAGAAATGCAGATTGACAGCATACTGAGACACTATTCCGCAGCTGTCGGACTGAGGGTAGCCTGGCTCTTGGGACACATCTGGGCAGCACTCACGCACCTGCTTCCTGGGCTGGGGGTAACACAGGTGTTCAACAGAAGCATGTCACACAGGAAAGGAAGGACATGAGGACATGGGACCAGGTGTGGGGATGTACATCTCTGTCATCTGCATCCCAGTGCGCTGGAGGTTAGAGCAACAGAAGGCCATCCTGGGATACCTCACTAGATCCTATCTCAGAAACCAAAGGCACAGTCACAGAAGCCAGTTCCGACCGACCTACTGGCCAAATGAGGGGCCCTTGAGTGTAAGAAGAAATGACAACTTATTAAGGCCAATATAAAAACCTGCTAAGTCTAAACTGACATAAATGTGAAAGATCTGTGACAGGAAGCACTTCTTTGGAGAAGACCAATTAATGACTCCTCTTAAAGGTTTACCTTTAAAACCACAAGGTGCTGTCATGAGAATAACTGAGTCAGACCATGAGCATCAATGGGCCACAAAGCTTAGTAGTCAAAGACCCAGAAGCAGGCCAGCAAGATGGTTCAGTGGGCTACAGCACTTGACACTGTCAAGCTTGACAGCCTGAGGACCACTCATGTAAGCTGTCCTCTGGCCTCCACACATGTCCTGCACATGCGTGAGTTCTCCTCCCAAATAAACATAATAAAATGTTTTTAAATAAATGAAACTTGAAAAAAATTAGACATAGAAATAATAGGATAGTAATAAAATCTAAAAAAGATTATCCCATGAACTTGTTTTTTATTTGAAAATGGTGGAAAAAACTGACTTTAAAAAGAGAGCCAGATGGTGGTGGCACACACCTTTAATCCCAGCACTTGGGAGGAAAAGGCTGGTGGGTCTCTGTGAGTTCAAGGCCAGCCTCAGCTACAAAGCGAGTCCTGGGACAGCCAGGGCAACACAGAGAAACCCTGTGAGAGAGAGGAGCTGGCTTTACCCATGGTATCAAAGTCAACCTTATGAGGGTGACACTATATGATTCCAGCGTGATACAGTGAGGACATAATGTCCCTGGGGGGACACATCTACCAAAGCACAAAACCTGAGTATCACAGGAACAAACATCAAACAAACCAACTACAAGGAGATTCTCCACAGTGACTGGCTAGCATTCCGCAAACATGGCAACGCCATCAAAACACACAGGCATGGGAGGGGAGGGCAGAGCAGGGGCTGGAGGAGAGGTGTCTTACCCAGAGGGTGCTCCAAAAAGCATATGCAAACAGTTTTATAAACCTCCTAATAAAAGTTTATTCTTGTGGTGTTACCCTACTCTGGGGATCATGCTTACATCAGAGACACAGGATGCCAAATCAAAAGCCCATTGCTACAGTGTGAGACACCTCCCCTCAAATTTGTGGTTGGAGATGTTCCGGAAATACCCAAAACAATATAGACTATTATCTTAGCTCTCGGTTGCCTGACAGAACTTGATGGGAAGGCCCCACTGTTGAAGACCGTTGCTGAAGATACCACATTCACCTGTCAAAGGACATGGAGAAAGCAAGTGGGTAGTGACCAGGAAGCTTCCTA